GTGGGCTTATACGAGAACATGAGCTTATATGCGGGCATGGGCTTATACGCCGACACCAAGTTGTGCTATTGAAAAGTATCAAGGAAGTGAGAAGTACATTGCTGAAAACCACTGTGCAAACAAAAACAACCGATGATTGTGCTGAAATGTATGAAAAAAACTATAATGTGCATGTACTACAGTCTACATACATGGTATGGCCAAGAGTCCATAATTTGTGGACTCTCGGTATGACCTAGGCCCATGGGCTTGTACGATGAAGCCTAGTGATGTTCGAACAAACCCTGGGCTTATGCGCGGGCATGGGCTTATACGCGGGTGGGCTTATCCGCGGGATTCTACGGTACTGTAGTGAAGACTACCAAGAGTACAAGAGTTCATGTACTCTTGACACTACTGTACATGATCGTACTGTCGTGGACATGGAAATCCGGTCGCACGTCTAGCGGCCCCAGGGCGCTGGCCATGCATGCAGCCGTGGGTAAGCAGTACACACACGCTGCAGCGCGCGCGCGCCCTGGTCGCATCATATCAGATCAACGTGCACTGCATGCAATGTTCTGTCTGCGCTGAGCGAGGGCGCCGGCCCGGTCAATCGACTGGATTTCCATGTCCACGACAGTAGATGTACCAAGAGTATCCTTATGAACTCTTGATTGCATTTGCACAGTCTTGTAAGTAATAGTTGACACTTAGGGGGCGGCGTTCTTGACTTTTCGTCTGTTTTCGAGGAGTTTCGTTTTTCTGAAGAGGTGGCTTATTGGCCTCTTCAGAAAGTGAAAGTTTCCTCGAAACTCCTCGAAACTCCACAACCTCATCCGATGGGAGAGGTGGATTAGTTCCGAAGAGGTATGAACTCTTGGTTGCACTTGCACAGTTTTGTAAGTTGACACTTAGGGGGCGGCGTTCTTGACTTTTCGTCTGTTTTCGAGGAGTTTCGTTTTTCTGAAGAGGTGGCTTATTGGCCTCTTCAGAAAGTGAAAGTTTCCTCGAAACTCCTCGAAACTCCACAACCTCATCCGATGGGAGAGGTGGATTAGTTCCGAAGAGGTATGAACTCTTGGTTGCACTTGCACAGTTTTGTAAGTTGACACTTAGGGGGCGGCGTTCTTGACTTTTCGTCTGTTTTCGAGGAGTTTCGTTTTTCTGAAGAGGTGGCTTAATGGCCTCTTCAGAAAGTGAAAGTTTCCTCAAAACTCCTCGAAACTCCACAACCTCATCCAATGGGAGACTCTGGGTGGATTAGTTCCGAAGAGTTTGGAATAGCTACGTCATGTGTAGTGGAGATGGTTGATCGGATCGAACATCATTATCACAATGACAATTCTACTGAAAAACTCTAAAATGATGGAAACCGTTCTATTGGGATACTTCAACTAATCTCTTCTACGATGTTTCTCGAAAAGGTGATGAGGAGAATATATGTAGCCCGTTCCTGTCTTCCAGTATGTCCGTGACCGGGGCAATGTGCATGTGACACGTCTGTATTTGTTTTTGTCCTGACCACGGCAATAGATTCTTCACCCAACCATTGTCACTGTTATTATTGCTAGCAAGAGTACATAAACCAGAGTGTGCAACTCGGGATGGTTCCTGTGGGAGCGTAATTCGTGCAGTACGTCATTTCTGACGGCATGGTAAGCCACAGGTATGGTGAAAAGTTGCGTAACCAGTCGCAGTGGTGCAGGTCACTGAGTTTGTCCTGATTTCGGTTTTTGATACGGATAGCCTGGTGACTTTACTTGTCGGTAGTGCGCACATACACAGTCACACAAAACACCGAAATCCTGAAACAGGACGTCTAAAATCAAGCAAACTTGGCTGATTTCCGGCCCGGGCTATGAAACATGATAATTTAAGCTGTACGCAAGTTGCGGCTTGGCTGACCTCGTAAGGGTGACGTAGTGCACGAACTGCGCTGTTTCAGATCTGATATGCACAGTAGCACACTCTGGTTTATGTACTCTTGTTGCTAGCCCTTGCTATGAGCTAGGGTTAGCAGACCCCGCATCTGCTCTCTGGCTGCTGACGTGCACCTCGGAATGCTCACCCCAGAGACGTGGAGCCAGAATTGCGTAACACTTGGGCAACAATAAGTGTTCCCTGGGTATGCCTGGCCCATTTTCCCAACATGCGCTATACCGGAAAATAAAGAAAAAATGCATCCATTGCCGTTGGTGGGGTTTGAACCATTGAGAATTCCTGACTTTGTAGATCAAAATCTGTTCTGGAAATATACATGTACCTGAGCTGACAATCATGTCACCATAGCAACAAGCAATAACACCGACACGTGCATTAATTCATGCATGGTTCCAATATATAATGAAACCCCCCATTGGGGTTGACAATGTGCAAGCACCTAGAGGCAATCCAAGGGATTACTAGTAGAGCGAGTTTAGTGATGATTGCCACGTGCACAAGATAGTGTATATTACTATTTTCCATGATGGTGAAAAACCAAGATCGTACTCACTAGGATCATTTCTATAGTACGTATCCCGTCTTTGTTCTCCTACAAAGACAACCGCATAAGCCATGAGGATGACATGTAGCATCCTCCCCTGAGCGGGAAGCGCACCAGCACGACAGCATCCTTGGATGCAAGAGTGCTGGTGATTGATGACTGTTCTGCTCTGACCTTCTGGTCATTGTGGAGGGGGAGGCTGCTTTATGAGTGGCTTTTTTTATATAATGAAAAAAGAATCTTTAGTTCCAACTTTTGTGTTTTATCACGCATGCATACGACTTTTTGGATGAATTTGCGTATGTTCCCCAGCTTCTTTTCAAGCGAACTCGTACGTGCGTTTCAATAGACCGATTGCCATTTGTACAGATCCACGAAATCCCATAGACCCGGTAGGGTGTTGAATGTGCAGGACCCTATTGTGTTTTCTGCTATTTCCACTAAGAAATGGGGCCTGAAGGCATTTCATATGAAAACCTTTTTCTGACAAAGATCTAGCTAGTCATTAGTTCTAACCAAATAAAAGTGAAGAAGCTGGAAAAGCGATTGCTGGTCATTGAATTATGACGCTAAAGAGGTCAAATCCGCATGCATACTGATAGTACCAAGAGTAGATAAACAAGAGTGTGCAACTCCAGATCTCTCCTGCATAATCTGCAGATACCCATCCGCGAGTTGCACACTCTTGTTTATCTACTCTTGATAGCACACAATGAACACCCTACCGGGTCTAAGGGATTTCGTGGATCTGCACAAATGGCAATCGGTCTACTGTAAAAGCCATTATTCTAACGAGGCGCATATATAACGATTTCCCAAAATTGACTGGTTTACGTGTACCAAAGGTAACGATTCTCACTTATTCTCAACGCTTTAATAGGACCGTATATGTGTCGATTTCTGTATAACGATTTCTATTTTAACAACAGATTTCTCCTTGTTAACTCGTTAGAGTTAGCACTTCGTTATAATATATGGCTTTTACAGTACATGTATTTCCTTGTCTGCGGCGAGGTTTCCAAATGTACTTTGGTACGTTTTACCGTGTCGCAGAACCTCACTAGTGAACGTAGTGTGAAGACGGCGTTAGCGATCTCTAAATCTTGGCGCGTGAACTCTAGTTCCGTAGGAAAGTTCATTTTAACACCAGAGGGACTGAGGTTTAAAATGGACTTCCAAAGTGTGGTACTTGATTTTCCGCAGTGCGCGGACTGCAACTGAATAACGTAATGAAGGCAGCGCGCCGCACATCTGGCCCATAGAAAAGAGATCACAGTTGCATACTCTTGTTTATGGATACACATACTCTACTTCTTATGTGTGTACACAGTCATTCTATGACAGTAAAGCCAAACTATGCTTGCAGAAGATCACCATCATTGTGCTTACTACGTGGTTACTATGGGCAACTAAAATGGTGTCGGCAGATAAACGTTAATAATTTTTGAACGAGAAGTCGAAAACAACTTCGGACTGCTTCTTTCCGTTCAACATTCCCGAAAGTTGGACTGCTCTGCCGACTGCTCTGCCGCCGACTCTTGAACCCCGGCAGTAATGTTCAGCGAAATTCGAAAAAACAGAATCGTTCCAAAATAATTCGTAATGGTTCTTTCATACAGCCGTTTCATCATTATGTAATAATCAGGCTTCATATCCAGTGTACAGAAACCAAAATGATTTTCGCTAGAACTTTAGGTTTTAGATTTTTCTTCTCCGGTAGAATTTTACGGCTTGTTTCTCCTTCCTCATGCAGAAATAACAAGTGTTCACTGTTCAGCCATCAGCAGGCCAAGAAGAAATCTGATTGGCTGAGGGTGGTTGACTCGTTTCAGGTGTGAAGTTCAGAGCCAGGATAGGCTATAAAAATGGTGGCGGGGCTTGGGATGGGTAGAATTTTAGATTTCTCCGATAGAATTTTCTGGCTTGTTTCTCCTTCCCCAATGTGTTTTCTTCTTGGCTTGCTGGTGGCTGAACTCTTGAACTCCTGATTCCTAGAGTATTTTTTAAGCGGAGATACCGTAAAGTCGCGGATAAAAGCCGGGTTTGCATACAAGCACATCGCGGATAGAAGCCTGAAAATCTAACGGGTCAAATGCATATAAGCCTGTCGCGCGTAGAAGCCTGGCTTCTATGCAAGCGCGGATCGGGTAGGTCGAGAGTGCATGCGCTATGTACGGTGCATAGTAAAACTGCCGCCATACCGCATACCGGTAGTCAGTGGTAGATCTACGTCGTGCGTAGAAGCCTGGTTCTATGTGCATACAAGCCTGGCAAAAATATCAGTGGTGCATATAAGCATGGTTTGCATACAAGCCTGGTTTGCATTAAAGCCTGATGCTGAAAGCGGCTTATGTGCTTATAAGCCCGGCTTTTATCCGCGACTTTACGGTACTCTAGGAATCAGGTCGACATCCTGAATGGTGTTCGGCGCAAGCGCTACATAGCTAGAAGCATATCGTTCAATATTTTGGAAAATCTTCATGACTTCTTCGTTGTGTAGTGATGACAGCGGAAATTATCCTATTTATTACTTTTTTGAAATGATTGTCTCTACGTCGTCGAAATGTGATGTGAAGAACAATTTGCACATTGTCTCCACCGTTTTACCCTGCATGAATAAAGTATTCAGCTGCGCTACTAAAGCAGTAATAGGATCGATGAAAAATACACCAGAGAGATTGGAAGTTTTGTCACAACTCTGAGTTTCACGTATTACTACGATCATCAGGCAACTGATGGCTCCAAAACAGGCAGCCTGAACATAAGGGGGAGCAAGGTGGGAAATTCTAAGGGGTATCACAGCGCAAGGCGTGAAGTTGCCAAGTCTTCATTGGGGCTATGCAGCAGCAGTTCCGAACGATGACAAATATAAATGCATCTAACTAGCTTTCGCACAACGCTCATCAGTACGCGCAGCATTGCACTGATTAACAAATTTCAACACATTACAAAGGATGTATCTTGTGATAATATCAAGAGAGAATTTTTGATGCGAAATAGAAATTACCACTATAAAGGATGTATTGTGATAAATAACATCAAAAAGAGAGAATTTTTGATGCGAAATAGAAATTTTGAAAATATGACCCAGCCAGAAGTGACACATCTTACAATTACGACCAAAAACAACCAAAAGAAAACACCACCACCACCATCACCACCAACAGCGAAAGGTAGAACTGCTGAACAGAAAATCGCCAGTATAGTGTACCTCGTACTGTTTGGTAAAACCAATGTTGTAGTTAGGTGTTTCATCAATGATAGCAGCGACCCTTTTTATGCTACATCAACGACTGTAGCCGGGCAAGATAATCAGGCTTGAGATAGTACACAGCTGCTGCACCTGCTAAAAGCGCAGCTCCACCAAATCTGCGAAAAAAGACAAAAAAAACGTGAAAGAGCGTATGTAGCACTGACGCATGCACATGGGTTGCTGTTACTACTCGACACAAAGTTTTTATTATAATCAGCAGAAATGTTACTACATGTAATACCAAGAGTATATAACCCCCCAAGAGTGTGCAACTCTGCATATGGGGTCTCCGACGGCGAAAACTCACATCACGTGTCTCAGATACCTTTGTACTACGTACAAACGTAGGATAGCGTGCGCGCAATCCGAAAATCTGCCGTGATCATGCTGGGCATTTGCATACGTGCAGTGAGTTTCGGTCAGAAAGTGCTTTTTTTAGTACTCCGCTGCTCGCTAAAAACGGGCTGGAAACGTACAACTGCGACACTGCACCACGTTATGTTAGTTTTCGCCGTCGGCGTACCCCATAGAAAGGGTATCAGGAGTTGCACACTCTTGGGGGGTTATAATATTATACTCTTGGTAATACTACCCCCTGGACACAATGCCCACTGATCAGTCACATTGCAATGCAACACACCCAATGCCGCCGCGTCCACAACGCCCTGGAATCTGAGCCTGATCCCATTGTCCACAGCGTTCCAACAAGGGGGTGTCACCCCTCTACATGGCATGTTAATAAAGTTGGCTTCATGCCTACTTCATGAATAGTATTGAATACTGATACCCACATAACACTGGCCAGCTTCATGAATACCCAACACAGTCCCACATAACTTGTTACAAGTAACACTACCAAACACAGCCCAGCTTCCACATAACACGGCAAGCTTACCCAACATAGACAAGCGGCGACGTTGAGGGTTGATATTCTGATAGCTGGAACAGCGGATGGTCTGCAAAGTCGTTGTGAAGGCGGCGTGCACTGTACACACATACGGACACACACATACACACATACATGTATTAATAAAGCTCGTAGCTGTACTGATGAGGCCACATCATCTTGCTGCCTTCAGCATTGGGTCCATACAGGCACACATTTCTTTCATTTTCTGCATTTTGATATTGCATTGGCTCACACTCGCTCATACACACTACACGACTGTACTACCCTCGCGGGTCTCTCTTATCCGGAGTTCTGGGCACCTCGGAGCTCTGCCTACCGGGCACCCTGTGGGTGAGGTTCAGTGGAAATATTACAGTTACTACTCTTTGCCAATTTTGGTGGGAAGTATGTACTTAGAGTGAGGTCATATGCCAGATCTGGCCTCTGACCCTACCCCATTGAAACGCATGCCATTCAGAGTTACAGACATTTCAAAGTTTCGGCAGTGCCCGACCCCGGACAGCCCGGATAAGAGAGATATGTGTGTAGTTGCCTTTACACCAAACATGGTAACAGCATGATTTTACAACACTAACAACGCCATGGATTAGCGGCCCTTGTCAACAAGAAACCTCGGCAAGAACAGCAGACACAGATGTTGTACATGTGCAGTTCTGCTCAATGAAATCCAGTCGAGTTTCTCAAGTACACTGGGTGTTGCGCAGCCCTAGACCTGCGAACACTGGGCTGCGGAAAGGTGCAAGGCACCAACTTGACTCTCGCGACTGGATTTCGTTGAGCAGCACTGTACATGAAGTCATGTACATGCACATACCTTTCAGCATGCTCGGCAGCAATAATGCACCTGTTGGATCCCTGCAGCTCGTAATCTAGCTTGTCATACTGCTCCAGACACTCCACCACCTGATGATAGCAGGCACATGAAAAAAGCAAGGACAAGACCACAACAGGACTAACAGCCGAACAGCACAACCATTTGCAAAACTTGGAAAATAGTCCCCGACTGGATCACTACAGCAGCCATCGAGACGAAACCGAACAACAGGAAAAATGCCACCCACGAGAAAGATACGCAACACCCAGGCCATACATATACCCCAGGGATGAATTTACCGTCATATTTTTGCATAGCAGTTTTTGCTATACAAAATCACAGTTGTGTAGCAATCTTTGACTTTGATTAGCATTATTCTTTGAAGGTTGGGTGTTTACCACATTGTCCTTCTTGAGGGTGATGCCTGAAAGCCCGTTTGCAAAAAAACGACTGAAGCATACATGTGCACCCAGATTGAGAGTACCTGCACCACATACACTGCACAGTATGCATGTAATATATTATATATTGTTACTTGACAGCGCAGGCTGAGCATGGATAGTCTGTATGTATCGCAATTTTCTGCGAGTCACGGTGACTTTTGAGTAGCAGTAGATCGATTATGCATCGCAAACTGCGATGCGATACAGGATAAATTCATCCCTGTACCCACCATTGAACCTCCCCGCTCACCACCACATGCATGCACACATACACTCTGGTCAATCAAGGCTCTTGAAGATAAGAGTGATCCCCGGATGATGTCGGGTATGGTTTGGTCAAGGTGGAGCAACATTTCAACACACTAAACAAAAGCAGCCATTACCTCCTCTCTCATCAACACACTAAACAAAAGCAACCAATACCTCATTGGTTTCCCGTTTGTCTCTTTCCCTCAAACCAGTCAATATTAATACCTCATCTCTCGTGAGTTTTCCTAGAAAACTGCGACTCGTAAGTTCAAGCCATGTCGGTCTGCAGCTACTTGGGTCAGGACCGGTGATGCTCTGCAATACAATGATGCACGCATGCACCAACCCACACACACACAGGCACACATACACACGTACACACACACACACACACACACACACGTACACACACACACACACACACACACACACACACACACAGGCACACACACATACATGCACAGAAAGTATTACATAACCAATTACAGGTGTACAGTGTCAACAAAGCAACAAGATGATGCAGTCTCTACCATCACCACCCTCACCACCGCCCTCACCACCATCACCGCCCTCACCACCACCGGTCCACCACCACCATCACCACCCTCACCACCACCACCACCGCCCTCACCACCACTGCCCTCACCACCGCCCTCACCACCACCACCGCCCTCACCACCACCGCCCTCACCACCACCGCCCTCACCACCACCCTCACCACCACCGCCCTCACCACCACCACCACCCTCACCACCACCCAGGGCCGGCGGAGCCGCTCCGGTCGGTCCGGCCATGGCCGGACCAACTTTTCGGCCACCGACGATTTTTTTTACGACGCAGTAACGTATAACGTTATAAGCATACGACTCCCTGGTTATAAGTTAACTTTATGTTGTGATCATCGATTGCATGTACGCGTACTTGCGAGGTTGCGATCTGGCTCTGTACTGATCTTGCCGTGCACGCGTGCGCGCTTGAGGGCTAGCTAGCTAGCTAGCTGTGGCCTGTGCTGTGGGCTGTGCTGTGGGCCGTGGGCCTGTGCATGTGGCGCGAGACGCGCAACCTGAAGTGAAAGCACGTGCCATGATGAATTTTACAATTAAAATATAATTTTGTAGTCTTGAGGGTTTTTCGTCGAGTGCTTCAGATTCTTTTACTGAACGAAGTAGTTTTTCAATTTTTTCTCGCTGTTTGGTCAGCTTAGCTGCAGTGCATTAGCAGCTATGGCTTCTTCCAGCGAAATATCTGTGCCAGAAGTGCCAGTCCACCCAACCACTTCCTTCGCGTTTCCTCGGCGGGAATTTGGGAAAAAGACAGTGGTGAAGCGCTCTTGTCAGGCGTCATATTTCAAGACATGGTCTTGGTTGACCTACGATGAGCAAAGAGACGTTGTGTTGTGTCACACGTGCGCAAGTGCTGTGCTAGCGAAAAAACTTGGCCGGACCAATCAACAATTGCTTCTGCCGGGCCTGCCACCACCACCCTCACCCTCACCACCATCACCACCACCACCATCACCACCGCCCTCACCACCATCACCACCACCACCATCACCATCACCACCACCATCACCATCACCACCGCCCTCACCACCACCACCACCATCACCACCACCATCACCACCGCCCTCACCACCGCCCTCACCACCGCCCTCACCACCGCCCTCACCACCGCCATCACCACCGCCCTCACCACCGCCCTCACCACCATCACCACCACCATCACCACCGCCCTCACCACCGCCCTCACCATACCCAAAAAGAATGCACACAAGCAAAACAAGGACGACAGAGATGCTTGTAACTCTGCAACCCTGCAACCCTGTAGTAGCTCTGTGCTTACAAACACTGATCATGCAGACACTACATGAAATCAGATGTACTTGTTATTTGCATGCTGGACTGTGTGCACAACTCACTCACTGTACACACAACTCACTCACTGTATACACAACTCACTTACTGTACACACAACTCACTCACTGTACACACAACTCACTCACTGTATACACAACTCACTCACTGTATACACAACTCACTCACTGTACACACAACTCACTCACTGTACACACAACTCACTCACTGTATACACAACTCACTCACTGTACACACAACTCACTCACTGTATACACAACTCACTCACTGTACACACAACTCACTCACTGTACACACAACTCACTCACTGTACACACAACTCACTCACTGTACACACAACTCACTCACTGTATACACAACTCACTCACTGTACACACAACTCACTCACTGTATACACAACTCACTCACTGTACACACAACTCACTCACTGTATACACAACTCACTCACTGTGTACACAACTCACTTACCAGATACTGAACTGATCCACGTATGACATTGATCAAGTTAATATGACCTTCAATCAGCTTACAAATCTTCGCCCAGCTTGTTGTTGCTCTATCCTCGGTACTATGGATTAGGGTAGTACACAAGTAACCGGCAACACACAGGCAGACCAACAGACAGACAAACAGACAGACAAACAGACAGTCAGACAGACAGACAGACAGACAGACAGACAGACAGACAGACAGACAGACAGACAGACAGACAGACAGACAGACAAACAGACAGACAAACAGACAAACAAACAGACAAGCCATCACAGTTGACCTTTCCAGTGGAATTCACACTTTCTTTCGTTAGACTACGTACGTATAGGCTGAGCCAGGGGATAGGATATTAATTATTTAAAAATTACAACCATGTGAAACGGGGTCACCTGATTTCAGCAATCACCTGGTTTATAAGGCCACTATTCTCTGGCATCAAGTGTATAGAGTGCACAAGCCTGCACGGGTTACCCTGGTTTCAGAGACCGCCCGTGTTCAAAGACCACGATGATAGACTGGTCCGCCCGTGTTCAAAGACCACGATGATAGACTGGTCCTTGGGCATAACAATGGGCAGTCGTTGAAACCAAGATTGAGGTTGTTTAAGAAAGGATTGAGGTTGTGGAAGCAAGGATTGAAGGTTCACCTCTACATGTGCATGCCTGTATTTGTAGATGTACTGAAGTACTGTTGTGTGATAAACCAGTAAGCAGTGTTACCCCCGGCAGTGTGCGGGCAACCTTACATCCTAGCAAGAGCTCCCCCCCCCCCCAAACACACACGTGCTGATCAACATAGTATTCTTGAAATCTGTCAATCATAAATTTATCCAATAGAGAGACGAGGATAAGCACAGGGATTGAAACAGGGAAAGAGACAGAAATGGAGATAGAGAGAGAGAGAGAGAGATAGATAGAGAGAGTGAGTGAGTGAGTGAGTGAGAGAGAGAGAGAGAGAGAGAGAGAGAGAGAGAGAGAGACTGAGTCACTTACGCCATGCTTTGCCGTGCCAGTAGATGACACATGCGAATCAAGACTGTACCGAGGCAGGGTACAAGGGCAGCATAGAAAATACACAGCAGCAGCAGGAGACAGAAGGCATTATAGTCCGTGTGCTGTAAAACAAGACTCCGTGACAGTACCCCACTGTACATGTAGTGTAGTTCAAACTACTGTAAAAAGTTCTAAAGCAGTGCAACACCCATTTCGTCCCACAGGTTTGTTATGTGCACATTCTGTGGCTCCAACCTATAATTATGGGTATCGAGCACTCTTCGAAAGGGGAGAAATGTCACTTTGCTGTCTCGTATGTCCGGGCTGCCCGTTTTTGGAGCTTACCATGTGGCTATGCAACTTGTGTTACATGACCACAACAGCTGAACCTGCAGCACTACGACACAATGCCAGTCAAATCAGAACTACAATGGACAGGTGTTATTACCACAGCCTGACAGGCAATACACTTTGTATTGATAGATGTTATTACCACAGGTAATACACTTTGTACTAATCTGGCATGTTTTGCTACACAAAGTCCATTCTTTCGACCGATATATTCTACTATGTGATAACATTGCTTGTAAGAATCAATGTTCACTTGAAACCCATGTTATGATTACGAAAATACGAGATACGCACTGTGCTAGCAAAGAACGTATGGTACTCACCTACACCCGCCACGAACGAGTCATAGCCGGCTTCATGAAACTGAGCCTCCTCTACAGCAACAACCAGCAGAGCATACAGAAAATATAGATACAACCCACAAAAATATTGCTTTGGAATTGCCATTGCATTGCAGCAACAGCAGCAGCAGCAGCAGCAGCAGCAGCAGCAGCAGCAGCAGCAGCAGCAGCAGCACATGTACAGTGGAATGTGTTTCAGTAACAGATACACTAGTAACAAGACCTGTCCTGTACACACAGGTGTCCTTGGCTGAGAGATGTCCACTACTTATGGCCAAACTGACCCAGAGTAGATTAATACTACAGTCAGACCTCGCTTCTCCGGTCCTCTTTTATCCGGATCTCTTGCCATCCGGAAGAAAATAGGCTGGCTACAGATTTACAGCATACGCGGTGCATCCAGCATAACCGGTGTTCGGTTATCCGGTTCCCTCGCCTAGCCACGTCTGACTGTAGTACATGTACAGAGTGATTGCCGGACAGAGATGCGCTGCTGTTGCTGCTGATCTATAGTGACGACAGTGTACTTACCAGTACATCTGATGTAGTGACACAATGCCTACACAATGCCTACACAATGCCTACACAATGCCTACACAATGCCTACACAATGCCTACACAATGCCTACACAATGCCTACACAATGCCTACACAATGCCTACACAATGCCTACACAATGCCTACACAATGCCTACACAATGCCTACACAATGCCTACACAATGCCTACACAATGCCTACACAATGCCTACACAATGCTGTATTACAACTGTAGTGACTACACAGTCACCAGCACACTCAGTTCTTTGTCTAAGTAAACGAGGCATTCTAGTGGAAATGGACTGAGTGTGCTGGTGACTGTGTAGTCACTACAACAACTTGTTATAAGCATGCACAAGAAATAAATTCATTCTCGTTGGTCTGTCATCAACAACAGCGACACCCATTGTAGCCCTCTCCTCACGAGCTGTAATATTCTGGTAGTTTGGGAGTCGAGGTGATTTGTCACCGGGTTGTCTGCCCTACTTGCCAGGCACCACCTCTTCCAACTTGAATTCCTACACATCTGCTGTCTGATGAGTGTTTCAAACGAAACTCAGAATAACGGGGGAAAAAGATGTGTTTGCTTCATTGCTGTCAATGCTGTGTGATCTTTGAATTCCTACACATATAGTGAAACCTGTCTAAGGCGACCACTCAAGGGACGAGAAAAAGTGGTCGCCGTGGCCAGGTGGTCTTCTTATCCAGGTTCAGTGGATCACGTGACCATATCCACATGTGATACATCATTTTGATCAGTGCATCACAGTGCACACACACACACCTATGCTACTCTAGCACGGCCCGTGTGCCTGGGGTCCTCAGACCTGTCAAATGTCATGCATGCACCATGTACATCTACACTTCCTAAATTGATGTGTAGATCTACCATGCCTGATGCACCATGCAATGCGTACATTTACATGACTAGCACTGTGCAACGCGGTCGCGGGTGGGTGGTCGTCGGTCGCGTTGAGCGAGTGGTCGCCATATCCGAGGTGTTTTGAATGTGAATGCGTCCGTGACAAGGAAAAGTGGTCGCCATGGTTGAGTGGTCGTCATTACAGGTTTTACCAAGAGTAGATAAACAAGAGTGTGCAACTCGCGGATGGGTAGGCCCACGGCGGAATTTTTTGTTGACGTAATCCTTTCGACGAAGCACGCGCTGCGAGTCTTTTTCCCTCGTGCTCTTGGCCGGCTTTACACTACAAGGTCGGTGCCCAGCACATGCTCTCACACTGCTCTGCGGCAAAATGCGCGTTCTTCTGAAAAAAGGTGACGTCAACAAAAAATTCCGCCGTGGCAGGGTATCTGCAGATTGTGCAGGAGAGATCCGGAATTGCACACTCTTGTTTATCTACTCTTGGTACTATACTGTATACACATATACACATATACACCAACACATGCACTGACCGTATCTACTGGACTCTGTGTCCAGGTGTATTGACGGAAACATCGCCGCAGTATTGTCACAGGCCTTACTGCAACAGAAACACACACAGACACAGATACACAGACACATACACACAAACCCACACACACGCACACAGACACACATGCACAAACACACAATACAGACACACACACATGCACTGTACTTACTTCTATTTGCTCTCTGCCAAAACTGGTCACGTGGGTCTCCCCGGGAGAGGGGAGAGAGACATCAGCGGCAATAGTGTACGTGTTGAGACATTCTATTCACTGTGTATTTAGTGTATAAATATGGCTACCAAGTAGATGATGCAGTGCTAGTATGGCTAGATGATGCAGTGTTAGTATGGCTAGATGATGCAGTGTTAGTGCTAGTATGGCTAGATGATGCAGTGTTAGTGCTAGTATGGCTAGATGATGCAGTGCTAGTATGGCTAGATGATGCAGTGTTAGTGCTAGTATGGCTAGATGATGCAGTGTTAGTGCTAGTATGGCTAGATGATGCAGTGTTAGTGCTAGTATGGCTAGATGATGCAGTGTTAGTGCTAGTATGGCTAGATGATGCAGTGTTAGTGCTAGTATGGCTAGATGATGCAGTGTTAGTAATAGTATGGCTAGATGATGCAATGTATGGCCTTTGAGACAGCACTACAAGCAGTTATGGTTTATGATTGGTTCTGTACAAAGCACACATGCTGCTGTACTAGTACGCTAAAACAGGGTACCAAGGTCACTGGTAACTAGCTACCGAGCAGTCAGCACTTCTTGAGCTACTGGAGCGGATCTAACATGCTTGAGAAAGACATTGCCATGCCTGTCTTCCCTGTTATAGTTTGCTTGTTTTTCTAAACACCGTATAAGGCTTGGCTTCTAGATGCCCCTTGTGGACAACTCCTGCATACATTGGGTTCTAAACTCCTGCATACATTGGGTTCTAAATTTGCCGACGATGGGTGACCGGCCCGAAACGTCAATAATTTTTTCGACGTCACAAATAAAAGAATTTTCATCCAGCGCATGCACCAAGAGTGAATAGCAACTAAATAGAGCGGTTGTCAGTTGACAAACCCCCTTTTATCTAAATTTGCTGACATGACAATTATATTGTTTTGCTAGTTCCCAGGTTACTTGCCATAGGTGAGATGGTATGATGGTATCCTGCTCATGACCTACATAGAACATAGTACAGGTATTAGCTGATTGGCTGCTTTAGTCTGTTCACTTTATGCTCAGCTGTATCTTTATACAGTAGAATGCCGAATACTAGTATACGGCAGTCAACTGTCCGAACGATCAATTATTTGAAATGCCTGTTTGCACTGAATCGAAGGAACAAAGAGGAGTTCTTGCTGACTTTCCCACCCGAAGCACCATTCAAAATGATGCACATGATGTATGGCAACAGGTTGGCATCATAGTAACATGTTCATGCCACTGCCATCAGCAAGTACATGTATTAGACATGTCACATGCATGGGAGTAGTTAAATACCAGTAGTTTACTACAGGGTTCGCAGCCAACCAAGCACACAAAATTCCAAACTTTTTCCAAACTTTTTCCAAACCAATTTCAAGAATTTCCAAACCCACTCGTGCAGGAAAAATAAATTATGAATCTCTTCTGCACTGTCTTCTCCACTACGAGTACAACCAGGGAGTAGTAAAATCCTCCCTGGTACCACTACCATCAACAAATTCACCAAGGTACATTGCGATGGCATCGCCTTCAGCAGCTAGAGCCCCCGAAAATAGCAAGGGAATTCATACGACGAGAGTAACTCAGTTCCCCTCCGTAAGTTCAAATCCGCCTCCAGAAGGGGTTCCAATGAAACATTTACATAGCTGGTGTTCGTCTCAGCGCAAAAGACGGCTTCATCCTCGCCAGCAAACTCATCTGAGTGCGAAAGGACCTCGCCATCCTGCTGTCCCGACTTCAAAGAATCAAAGTCGAGCGCGAGCGCCAGTAACGAAAAACGGCCAAATAAAAGTCATCACCGGCCGCGCTTGAGCTGCACTGAAATGACTGTACGAGACTCGTACATCAGTGAACACCACACATCGCCAGCGCGTCTTCTATCGCGGTAGTCAAAACGGCCACTTGCACTGCAGGAGTGCAGCACATCCACGGCCAAAAACTCGAAATTCAAAACTTTTTCCAAACTATTCCAAAAGGAGCGCCTTTTCAAAACTTTTTCCAGACCTGGAAAATTGAATTATAAAATCCAAACTTTTTCCAGACTTCCAAACTTCGCTGCGAACCCTGTTACTACTCCCTGGTACAAACTAATACTAACCTTGTCAGATTAGTATGTAATGCGTCCAATCCGGTGTTTCGGACAAGATCACCGCCAGGGTGTGACAGCTCCTACGAACAGCATGGGAAAACAAGATGCAGATACAGCAAGGATTCCTGGATCAAATACTACACATATCCTGGACGAAACAAACAGCTACAACGAGATGCAATCAAATTTCAAACTATTCCAGGCATTCCTGCTTCAGCGACAGTGAAACCCATTGCCTCCTTTGGAGCAGTGCCTAATCGACATCACCAGTAGCCATGGCAATATTCAAAACTAACAGTGTAGCAGCGTAACACCAGTGGGTAGATAACTACTATAAGATATACAATGTACACAGAGATTTAACGGATAAAGTGTCTGATTAATAAAGTGTTTGAGGTCCTTGCTGCAAATAGTGCTCAATCCACAGGCGCGTCGCACTGACTTTGGAGGTGGGGCGGCCATGGAAGGGGGGTCCGGGGGTCGTCCCCGGGAAAAATTTCAAAAATTAAGCATTTCCGGGCATTCGGTGCCATTTCAGTGTACGGTAACTACAATGAAAGACTTTTTGATTCTGCAAAAAACCAAGAAGATGCTACGATCGGGGACAAATATTACCCTCCCCCAGGAAAAAAATTCAAAAATTGAAGCCAATTGCAAGCATTCCCAGGCATTTGGTGCCATTTCAGTGTACATGGACTTTTGATTCTGCAACAAACCACGATCGGGGACAAGGATTTGCCACGTTTGCGCTGAGATCATCGCGCTTTGTTGCAGTGTGCTAAAAAAAAGCCGAAAAAGTGGGGCGGCCATGGCCGCCCCGGCCGGTGCGGTTCCGACGCCCTTGAATTACACTAAC